CCCTCACCCCCTAAGTTCACCTCCCAGGACTCGCCAGATGGGCAGTATGAGAACAGCGAGGGTGGCTGGATGGAGGACTATGACTACGTCCACCTGCAGGTGGGTGCCACCCGCCCAGCTCCGGCTCCGCAGCTGCCCCACTCCTCCTCCCCAACTCGGGGCTCCTGTGCTCAGGGGGAGATGTGTCCCCAGCTGGAGCCAGCCTGGTCCTTGGCGAGGCCCTGCACCCTCCTACCTTCCTCACCCCACATCACCCCTGTGGGCCAGCGTGGCCGTGTCATTGAGTCCTGCGTTCAGCCCCTTGGGCTGGTGTCTCCGGTGACCAGCATCGGTGGCTCTGTTCCTTGTGGGGAGACAGACCTGCAGATTTGTCCATACACAGAAAGATGCTCTGAGGGTGGGGGCTCAGCGGGAGGTGACGGGAGGTGGCTGGGGCTGCTCCTCCCAGGCCAGGCCCTGGAGCAGAGACCTGGGTGCCTGCTGGGCGAGAGTCCCGGTAAGAAGCATTCCAGGCTGAGCTGGGCCAGAGGGGCATCTGGAGGCAGGGAGCAGGGGGCCAAGCCTTTAGGCCAAGGGTGAGGGGTTGGGTTTGGTTTCTGGTGTGGGAGCCTGGGCAGGCAGGGTGGAACGTGTGGTGTGGCCTTTCTCGGGTCCCCTGCCTCGTGCCCAGTCTCTTCCTGGCCTGGCAGACGGTGAAAGGGGTGGACAGCACTGCTTCCTGGGAAGCCACCTTCTCTGTGTGTGTCACGGCATATGCCAGTCTAGAGGTGTGTCCCACATATGGCAGCCTGGGGAGGGGTGTGTGTGTGTCTGTGTGTGTGTGTATGCCCCCACATGTGCCAGCCTGGGGGGGTGTGTGTGTATGTGTATATGCCCCCACATGTGCCAGCCTGGTGTGTGTGTGTGTGTGTATTTATGTATATATATGCGTGCACAGTACCACCTGGTGGCCACTCAGTTCTCTGCGCCTCACGGGGCTGGCCTCCGCTTCTGGCACAGACGAGAAGTGGCCTCAGCGCAGCCCCTGTGTCTTCCCTCCAGGGGAAGGAAGAGTTTGAGAAGACCCAGAAGGAGCTGCTGGAAAAGGGCAGCATCACGCGGCAGGGCAAGAGCCAGCTGGAGCTGCAGCAGGTGAGGCCCTGGCCCTGAGCATCTTCATCTTTTCATTTGGTTTAAAGTTTTCAAGAGTAACTTGGAGACATTTAAAGAGTGAGAGAGTGGGGTGAGAGCAGAAAACAGACTCCTCACATCTGGCACAGGCTTGGCCTGGGGCTGGCTCTGCCCTGTTCCCTTCTTCACGCTGCTCCTTACATGTCCAGGAGAGTGTCCTGCGGGCATTCGATTTTTCTGTCCCAGAATCTGCCATGGCATGAAGCATTCTTCATGGATTCTTTCAAAGACCACATAACATTTATTTAATGTTTATGTTGTCTCTGTACTTCCTTAGTGTTGTTTTATCTTTTGAGACAGAGTCTTGCTCTGTTGCACAGAGTACAGTGGTGCGATCTCGGCTCACTGCAGCCTCAGCCTCGTGAGCATCTGGGCTCAAGTGATTCTTCTGCCCTAACCTCCCAAGTAGTTAGGATTATAGGTGCCTGCCACCCCACCTGGCTGATTTTTCTATTTTTGGTAGAGATGAGGTTTCACCATGTTGCCCAGGCTGATCTGAAACTCTTGGGCTCAAATGATCCACCTGCCTTGGCTTCCCAAAGTGCTGAGGTTAATTAAAGTGTGAGCCGCTGCCTCTGGTCCCTTATTATAAATATACTGCTATGTCTATATGCAGACATATCAATAGAATTTTTTTTTCATATTTTGAAACATTTCCTAAGGTCAGAAAAGCGATATTTTAAAAAATACTAAGGGCGCTTTATTCTGATTATGAAGATAATTTTAAAAGTGAAAATACAGGATAGCACAAAGTGAACATAAAACTGTCACCCGTCAAAGCTCCCTTGCCCACCATCTGGGCCCGGAGGAGGTGGCAGAATGGAGGGCCTGAGACCCTCACTGCACGGCACTTGCCCAGCTGAGGCTGCCGCTGCCTCATCAGAGCGCGGTGAGACTCAGTAAAGACTGGAAGCTGCTTGGAAAGTGCCTGGCACATAGAGAACACTCAGAAAAGGTTCTCTCAGAAGTGGGCAGGGTAGGGTTGAGAAATTACCTAATGGGTACAGTGTATGCTGGGTGGTGGCCACACTAAATGCCCAGACTTTCCCACCAGTCAGTGTACCCACATAATAAAACCGTACCTGTACCCTCTGCTAAATCTATTAAAGTAAAACAGGAAAAGAATTAATGTCACACCTGTAATCCTAACACTTGGCGAGGCTGAGGCAGGAAGATCACTTGAGGCCAGGAGTTTGAGACCAGCCTGGCCAATATGGTGAAAGTCCGTCTTTACTAAAAATACAAAAATTAGCCGGGCATGGTGTCACATACCTGTAATCCCAGCTACTTGGGAGGCGGAGGTTGCAGTGAACCAAGATCGTGCCATTACACTTCAGCCTGGGCAACAGAGCAAGACTCCATCTCAAAAAAAAAAAAAAAAAAAAATTAGCCTGGGTGACAGCAAGACTCTGTCTTTATAAAAATAGTTTTGGGGGAACAAAAGACCCACCAGAATCCCAGCACTTTGGGAGGCCAAGGCGGGCGGATCACGAGGTCAAGAGATCAAGACCATCCTGGCCAACATAGTGAAACCCCGTCTCTACTAAAATATAAAAATTGGCTGGGCGTGGTGGTGCACGTCTGTAGTCCCAGCTACTCAGGAGGCTGAGGCAGGAGAATTGCTTGAACCTGGGAGGTGGAGGTTGCTGTGAGCCGAGATCGAGCCACTGCACTCCAGCCTGGCTCCTGTGCTCTGTCAGGGCTCAAGTGATTTTCCTGCCTCTGCCTCCCGAGGTGCTGGGATCACAGACATGAGCCATGTCGCCCTGCCTCGCCGGAGCTTTTCAAAGAAAAAAGCTGAGTATATTCTCTCACTGGCTAAGAGAACCGAGAGATGAAGGATTTCACCAAGTAACTGCCTTAGGGATAGTGCGAGGCTCTGAGTTAGGAAGGGGAGGTCTCCTGTTGGTTTGGCTCGTTCTGGCTTGGAGCTTTGCGCCTAGGGTAGGACACAGCTTGCCTGTCCTGAGTCTAGGTATAGCTGGGCACTTCGGGGCCAGAGCAGCTCCACTGATCGTCTAACGCTAACCCCTTCAGCCGGCCCCCAGGCCCAGGCAGCTGTCAGGCAAAGTGTTCACTTTCATGTGTAGCTCTGGAAGATGATTTAGCAGAGGTGGTATTTAGAGGCATTGGATTACAGGTGACATCTTCCTTTTTTCTGTTTGGCATATTTGGATCTTTGTAATGTGTATGTTACTTTTGAACTAAGGAGAAATTTTGTTTAACTTTCCATTTCGAAATATTTATAGATTCACAGGAAGTTACAAAGATAAGAGTCGAGGGGTCCCCAGTGCCCTTGAGTCAGTTTCCCCAGTGCCATGTCTGAAGTCACATGGGACAGGACCCAAGCCAGGATGGTGACACCCAGCCCCAGGCAGCCACTGTTCTGTTGTCCATCTTGTCATTTCAAAATGTTCAGTGCATGGAGTCTGACCTTTTGAGATTGGTGGAAAGGTAATGGAATGGCCTGCAGAAGGCTTGTCATGGCTCCTGGTCCCTTCCCCAGGATAGCAGACCGCCCATCCCCGCAGTCCCATACACTCCGAGTAGCGGCCCTTTAATTTAGAGAAGTCCAGATCTCGGCCTGTGGTTCCGACTTGTCCAGGAGCCTAACCCTGCTCCTGCTTCCCTCCCGCCCCAGCTGAAGCAGTTCGAACGCCTGGAACAGGAGGTGTCACGGCCCATAGACCATGACCTGGCTAACTGGACACCGGCCCAGCCCCTGGCCTCGGGGTGGACGGGCAGCCTGGGGCCCTCGGACCGGCAGCTGCTGCTCTTCTATCTGGAACAGTGTGAGGCCAACCTGACCACGCTGACCAATGCCGTGGACGCCTTCTTCACTGCTGTGGCCACTAACCAGCCACCCAAGATCTTTGTGGCGCATAGCAAGTTCGTCATCCTCAGCGCCCACAAGCTGGTGTTCATCGGGGACACACTGTCTCGGCAGGCCAAGGCGGCCGACGTGCGCAGCCAGGTGACCCACTATAGCAACCTGCTGTGTGACCTCCTGCGTGGCATCGTGGCCACCACTAAGGCCGCCGCCCTGCAGTACCCATCACCCTCTGCTGCCCAGGACATGGTGGAGAGGGTCAAGGAGCTGGGCCATAGCACCCAGCAGTTCCGCCGTGTCCTGTGCCAGCTGGCAGCCGCCTGAGGGCAGTGACCCCTGGATGGGGGCAGGGGAAGGGTGTGGTGGCCCCAGCTCCCGGCCCCCATCTGAAGAGTAGCTGTGCTGCAGGCTTGGGGACAGGACCCTAGCTCTGCCTCAGGCCTGGCGCTCTGTATGCCCAGGATCTGTATATATTTATGGTTGGGCAGGGCATGGGGCCGTGTCCCCTCAGAGCAGCCGAAGCCCAGTGGCTGGCCAGTGGCCTTCCCCATCGTGCACTGCAGGACCTTGTGCCACCCAAGGGCTGAGCCTGGCCCCCAGAGGGTGCCCTGTGGCCTGACAGGGCCAGTGCAGTTTGGTGTGTTTCTCCGCCTCACCAGAAGAAGACCCTGAAGAACTATTTTTCATTATTGATTTTCCAATCATTTGACTGATAGTCTCCATTTAAATAAAGTTTTTAAAATGAAGAGCAGCTGCCTGAGGGTACCAGATGAGAGCAGGCTGGGGCGGGTGACGGTTCAGGGAAGGCACGTATGGGAATTCCCAGGAGGGCGGAGGAGAAGGAGGGTCCCTCCAGAAGAAAACTAAGGGGCACCGAGGCCAGGCGTCTCCTGCAGGGGGTGAGGTCTGTGGCTGGCCACAAGGCCCTGGGAGCCAGGGCAGAGCCTGTGCCTGAGAGGAGTTGGGGGCAGTTTCGGAGCTGCAGGGTCTAGGGCAGGTGGGGCAAGACCAGAGGCAGATGGGAGTTACGGGTTCCCATGAGCCAAGGGCACCACGGGGCTGCATTCAGAGCTCTGCTTAAAATAATCTCATCCCAGCCTGTGGAACTCCTGAAGTGCACTGCTGGAATTATACATGGACTGGCCTCCAAGTTGGGAGAGCAGGGCCCAGAGAAGGCCCTTGCCTTGGGCAAGTGTGTCCCCCCGGTGGCTTCCCCACCAGCAGCCCACAGCCCACATGGAGGCTCCAGGGTGCCTGGAAGCCCTGGTGCTGCTCCCAGCCCTGACCACTCCGCATATGAATGTGGACCTTGGTTTCCCCATCTGTACCAAGAAGGGGGTAGGGCTGGGTGATCCACAAATCCTCCTGATCCACCTCCACAGAGGGGGCCTCCTGACAGCATCCATCCCACAGCACACTCGGCCCACCTGCCTGGCTGAGGACACAAGTAAAGGTGTGTGCAGTTGATCTCCGTGGCTTTATTTGTGTTTTACACAGGTGTGGGGTAGGAAGGGTCTCAGCCTCCACACCTTCCCGCAAATGAGCTTCCTGACTCGGGCATCCAGGCCCAGTGAGGATGGGAGGTGCCTGCGCCGCTCCACAACACGATGCCCTCCGGGCTCCAGGATTAGTCCTGGCAGGCAAGGGCTGCTGGAGTCGCCCTGTGGGAAGGAGAGGAGGTGTCTCCAGGACTGAACTGGTGCCAGGGCCTAGGGGACCTGGACCTGGTGGAGTCCAGGGAGGAGTGCAGAGCAGTGGCAAGCGTGGGTGCAGGGAGTCCTGAGGTCTGGGTGCACGTGGCAGCCCCAGCTCTGCCATCCGCCTTGGAGGAAGCCAGGGCAAGTGGCTTTCATCCGTGCTGGGGCGCTGTCTGTCCCCTTCCAGCTGACCCTTCCAGCTCAGAGGGCTGGGGAGAGGAGGAAGTCCCCAGGGCAGCCTCACCTGCCTGGTTCAGGAAGCTGTGAGCCTGAGGCCTGGCCCTTGTTAGCCACAGGAAGGAGGGCAGAGAAGAATGGGGAGCCCAGGCTTCCATCAGAGGGCTGGAGAATCCTGGGTATACATTGAGTAAGGAACAGGGCTGGGCTGGACAGGTGGAGTCTATGGAGATTGATGGGGAATGGCCTGTGGCACGTGGTGATATTTAATGATTATCTTTCCACGCTCTTCTATAATGAGCAGAACTTACTTTATCATGGAAGACACCTGTCGGGATGCTTTCAGGAGCTTTAGTACTTGGGAAGGAGAAGAAAAGCAGGAGCCGAGTGGGGGGCAGGTGCCCACTGGCCCTGGCAGCCAAGGGTGCAGGCGAGGCCCAGGCTAGCTGGGTAGGGTCTCCTGCACCTACTCACCTCCTTACCCAGAAGCCAGTGTGTCCCATCGTGGCCTCACGAGCCACCTCCTCTGCCTGCCTGCGTGGCCTTGCCTCAGCCATCCTCAGCACCTGGACGGACTCTGGGTGAGCCAAGCTTAGACTCCCCAGCCACCACACGGTGGCTTTTCCTTGAGAGAGAGGGTGACAGACAGTGCTTGGGCTTGTGGGGGTGCCCAGGAAGTGAGCCAGTCGGGGTGAGTCCTGCTTGGCCACCGAATCCCATGCAGCAGCTGAGGACACGGAAAGGTATCCCTTTCTCACTCAGGGTCCCAGTTTCCCTTGCACAGTGGGGGCGTGGGACCCCCCAGGTTTCCCCAAGCTGCAGTCCTGGTGGCCTGAGGTTGTGCAGAGCTGTAGGTGGGGTGCGCAGCCCGGGGTGGGCGTCTCCTGCAGAGGCGCCGGCTCTGCCTGTAGCCGGCAGATGGGGGTGCTGCTTCCCCAGCCTGCAGTTTGTTTCTGACCATTCTCTTGCTGGTTGCAGTGTGTAGTTGGGGTTGGGGTGAGCATCGTTCCCTGACATCTGGGGGGCCCCAGCTGCTGAAGCCTCACCTGACACCACAGTGGGCAGCGGTGACCACCCAGTCCTCGCTGATGAGGGAGCCCCTGCAGAAGTGGAAGCCAGTTTTGTCCTGGGAGGACAGAAGGGCTGGCAACTCCCACAAGGGTGGGGGCGACCTGAGGGTCCAGGGCCGTGTCATCCTAGCACGTTGGGAGGCTGAGGCAGGAGAATCACTTGAGGCCAAGAGTTCAAGACAGCCAGGCCACATAGTGAGACCCAAATTTCTATTTATATATTAATAAAAATTGTTTTAAACTTCCCCCGGCCTCCAGCCTGGCCACCAGCCCGGCATGGGCAGGCTCCCTCTCTGATCTGCAGGGACACCTGCCAGGCCCGGGAGCTGGGGATGGCATCCTCCCCATTGACATCCTGGATAGGCTGTTGAGCACGGGGTAAATGGGGACCCCGCAGCTGGGGTTGCTGGGGTTGAGGCAGCTCAGCTGGCAGTTGATGGTGTCCTGAGGTGCCAGGGTGAAGAGCCCCCACCCCCCTGCTGGCATCCGGAGTGCTGGCTATTGCAGTGCCCTCAGCCACCTCCCGCCCTCCCTCAACCCCCTCCCCTGACCCACTGTGCACCTAAGAGCCCACGGTGCTGTGACATGTGACTGGATTCCCTGGGGCCCTGTGCTCCCATGGGCTCTGAGTCAGTGGCTGTGGTGGATTGGGGTGGGGCCTGGGGACACAAACCTGGGAGGCCGCCCAAGTCTAGAGGGTGCAGGAGTTGGGGTGGGTGTGGGCAAAAGTCATGGATTTGGGAGACCCTCGGGAGGCAGAATTCAGGGTGTGGAGGGTCTGAGGGTGCGGGGGCTGAGGGAGGGAAGAAGCAGATGCCCCAAGCACGTCCCAGGGGGCAGGGGCAGGGGCCTGAGGGGACAGGAGGACCAGCAGGGTGTGAAGAGGAAGGGGAGGAGGATCTGGCCACGGAGGATGTGGTCTCCCCAATATGACATGGCATGGTTTGGCTTTTTGCTTCTGGGCATTTGGGGCTGGAGATGGGCGGGTTTGACCTGTGGCTCCCGGCCTGCCTGAGCCTCTCACTTAGAGTCAGTGCCAGAGAGAGGGAAGCCCAGTGATCCAGAGAAAGGCCATGGGTGCCAGGGGTGCCCCTCCTGTCCCTGAGCCCACCAATCACGGCCCACCTCGCCACTGCCCCTCATCACCCATCCTCGGGCTGATAGTGCCCCTGGCACCAGCGGTATGTGGGGCCGGAGTGAGCTTGCCCTCGGGCTTCCCACCCACTCCTGCAGAGCCCTGAGCAAGGGAGCAAGGGTCGGTGGTGAGAACCCCGCTACCTGGGGGCAGGTGCTGAGGATGGGGCCAAGGTCCACCCGGGCCTGACCAGCCAGATCCCCCGTCTGTCTCTGCACCCTGTCATCTGCCCAAGTGGTGGGGAAGGGGCCTAGGGAAGGGTCCTCTCAGAGGCCACCCATGCCTGGCTGGCCCGGCCCAATCCAGCCCAGGGAGGGCCCAAGTTCAGGAGTGGGGTGAGGCCTTGGAGGCCCTAAAACAGGAGGCAGCCAGCACTGACGTGTGCACCATGGGTTTATTGAGGCTCTGTGGGGAGCAGGGTCTGAGGGAGCTGCGCGCTCAGTTGGCGGCCAGGATCTCCTGCACCCAGGGCATGAGCTTGGTGACACGGGCGTACACGCCAGGGCTAGAGGTGGAGCAGGTCCCGCTGCCCCAGGACACGATGCCCACCAGGGTCCAGGCCCCGTCCTTCTGGCAGACCAGGGGGCCACCGGAGTCGCCCTGTGGGAGAGGGAGGAGGAGGCTTGGATCTGGTAGCCCACGCAAACTGGTCCCAAGGGCCACTGGACATTGTTCCTGGAGCCCGGTCCAGGACCCCACATGCAGCAGAAGCTCAGCACATGCTGTCGCATGGGTTAGGAAAGACTCCAGCAGCTGCTTGCATGTTTCGTGCCCCTGGAAGTCTGAGCGAACCCCGGGATGGGACCCTTTAGTGGAAGCTCAGTAAAGCTGGATTGACCAATAGGAAGAGCATGGTGGGGCTGGCCAAGGGGTCTATGTGAGGGGGAGGGCTGCTGAGCCTGCTATCCTGCCGGGTCCACTGTCCAGGCTGTGCACTGCACAACTCCAAGAGCCAGATGCTCTGATATTGACCATGCAATTTTGCAACAATGTGACTCTGTGACACCAGGAAGGAGTGAGGTTAGATGAGGGCACAGAGGGGTGGAAAGCCCAGGCCTCCCCAGCACCCCTCTGGCCTGGGAGGGTCTGGGCAGGGCCTGCCTCACCATGCAGGAGGAGACACCGCTGGCCCCGGCGCAGACCATCACGTCGGTGATCTTGCTGCCCCAGAACTTCTTGCAGTCGGCGTTGGACAGGAGGGGCAGGGCCGCCTGCTGCAGCTTGTCAGGGGTCTTGTTGGCTGCAGGACAGAAGGGTCAGGGCCCCTGGGCCCACCCAGCCCAGCAAGGAGGGAGAGACCTGGGGCCGACATGCCTGCCCTCCCCTGCACCATCGCCACATGGGCACGGCCCCTGGAGCCTGAGAAACACCTGTGGGATGAGGGGGTGCTGGCTCTGCCCAGGTGGGAGCCCCGAGCTCTGACCCCAGGCAGGTCAGCCAGAGCAGGGCTCACACGGCTGTGCGCCGCTCAGAAGCCCCCCGCAGAGGCTCCTCATGATCCGGCCTGGATTTTATTTGCATTTGGGGGATTTTAAGTTCAGAGGGTTTTCAATAAAGAAGGGACAGTTAGGAGCATGTTGGTATTCAGAGCCAAACAAGAAGAGCCAAATGGTCACGGCAGGGACTCCATGGCAACGCAGCCCCGGCCCCAGAGGTGGCCCCCGACC